CTCCATTGAATGATATTCTACACCGGATGAACACAGGCAGCATTAACTGGACTTGGCGGGCTATAAAAGTAGAAGAAAATGGAGAAGGAGGAGAAGAGGAAGAGAACATGAAACTATGTGGGGAATGCATAGGAGTCTTGAAGGATTTTGCGGGAGAAATAAGAGGGTTGATATAATCTAAATTAATTGTAAGCATCTATGAGATTACAGAAGGATAAATTAAGAAACTTCAAAGCTGGTCAGCATTAAATGTCCATGGGTTTGTTTGTTTGTTTTTTTAAATCACAACTGTGTTTCCACTGCTTTCCCACTTGCAAGTGCACATTTGTTACACTTACACAACCTTCCGTACTACGACTGCTGGTCTGAAGGGGAGCAAGGCACCCCTGAAATCTCACCCTCACGGCCCACAAAGCATCCTCAGGCTCACATTGGATTTACTGCTATATAAGACAGTTGTCCTCAGAAGCTCTTGAGGGACTTGGGTCTGCCTTCTACAGGTCTGATGAAGAGGGTACCATCAAGTAAAGATGTGTATAAACTGTAACTTTCCTCTAGGAAGAGCACTGGACTCACAGTGCCTTATTGAAGCTCTTGAACTTAGCTGATTCCATTCACCTGAAACTTGTTCACTCTTTAAAAAAAGATCGCTTATTTTTTTATCTTACACATATGAGTATTTTGCCTGCATGTGTGTGAATGCAGCATGTGAATACCTACTGCCTGTGGAAGCCAGAAGAGGGCATCAGCTCTCCCTGGAACTGGGGTTACAGATGGTTGGGAGCCACCACGTGGGTGCTGGGAACCAAACCTAATCTTCTGCAAGAGCAATAAGTGATTTTAGCCACCAAGTCATCTCTCCAGCCTCCTATATGTTTATTCTGAAGACAAAGAGAGTCTGTTTTCTCCTGCCTGCCCCTCAGGGTTGTGTAAAAGCCATAATTTTTAAAAGAAGCTGTGAATATCTAATGACACATGAAGTAGCTTCGGGGCCGTGTCAGCCCATCTAAACAGGAACTCGGTGGTTTAGCTCTACTTGCCCCGTTTGTTTCCAAATGGTTGTTGGCCACAGAGACATTCATATTCATTTCCAGAGGCAGACATGAAACCAGTTGTTTTATTTGCTGAAAATCAATTCAGGTCACTCTGCACTACAGCGCGGTCAAGGAGATGACTGGCTCCTTTGCTGGCCCGAGGCAGCATGAATAGCCACATTTCCTTCCAGGCCAGCTGACTCCCCCCCTCATCTTCTCCTATCCCCGATGCATTGGCAAAGGTACAACTTCTAAATGGGATGTGCCACTAAGATTTGAGTTGGTGGGAGAGGTCAGTTTTTCCTCATGAGCTCGACTTCGCCAAGAGGAATTTCAGTTTTGCCATGAAGATATTGCCTGTTCCTACTCGAGAGAGCCAACTGCTCTTCGTATGCCAACTTCAGGACTACCATCACAAGCAAAGCAAAGAGCTTGGCATAGGCTTTTCAGCCCGCTTATATAGCTGAACCAGCTCCCATCGCTGGGCCCCTATTCTGCACCATGGCTCTGAATTTTCTCATCAAACCCTGTCATCGTCCTTATCAAGCTCCCCCAACTCCAAAGGATGCTTACATTTCCTTTGCAGTTCCATCTCAACTTAACTTTGCATATTCAATAAAGTTCACATAGTTTGGAAAACAGACCATATGCTTGACATATGCAAAAACACTCACACAAACACAGATACTACAGCACCTACCAAAGTGCCTTGCACATAGGAGTCTACATAATGTTTAAATACACACATATGCATACACACTCACACATTCAGTTGCTTTAGTTAGAACTTTTATCTTAAACAAAGGTATATATCTTTAAAGCCACCAAATCTGGATTCATTAAGCTTTGTAAATAGTCTCAAATTCTTGACCTCCACTTACTTATAATATTGAGTTGAAAAATATGTTTTGAAGGGCCAGAGAGAGGGCTAATCAGATAAAAGCACCAGCTACACAAATCAGAGAAGTTGAGTGTGATCTCCAGAAACCACACAAAAACCTCAGTGCTGGGGGACACATATGTAACTCCAGCACTTCCTTTGCAAGGTGGGAGGTGGAGACAAGAGAACTGGCCAGAAGTCTTCAATCTAGCCGGCCTGGAGTGTGTACTAGAGCAGAGGCACCCCACAAGAAAGATCCTGTCTCAAAGTGGAAGGCCAGAATCAACTTCCACAAGTTGTCTTCTGCCCTGGTATACAACACACTTACGAAAGAGAGAGAGAGAGAGAGAGAGAGAGA